TTTTTTGAAAATCCAACCATGGCCCTATTGTTACCAAGGAAAGACAACTCTATGGTCAAAGCGCCACTACTCAACGTTACTGTAATGACCGAGGAACATACGTACGGGAGGGGATCTGCGGGAGCAACTAAGAACCGTACAGAACTAATCCAGGAACTTACAAGACGATTTTATACAACGATAAGATTCATAGCGATAACAGACTCATAGTAAGCAGTACAAAATATTCAAACAAAATATTAAAATTAAATACCACGTGAAACGTCATAAAATTACATATTTATTAAATAGATAAAATAGTTTCATTGGCTCTTGTATTTTATTATTAATATTCTCGTTTTCTCATTTCTCGAATCTACACCAATAATAAAGATCAAAGTACACGAAGTCTCACCTATCTACGCGATGCTATACGTCATGTTTTTAAATATTTCTTTAGAGGAATTGACAAAAACTTTGACGTATACACATTCTTTTATCAACAAATAATGACGAAAATAAATCTCAACAATTTTTACTCTTATGTTTAGTTTTAACGTTTTAAGGCCCACAATAGCAATGTTTTGAACGTAACAACTGAATTGTTTTCTCAGTGTGAAATTGCAATATTGTCAAGACAATGAATTTACCTAATAGTTTTCTCTCGAGAGAGGGATTACTCTATAGAGGTGAATTAAAGGATAGAACACATACAGCCTGATAACTATAGCCGTTCGTTCCCTACAGGATCCCTACAGGGTTTGGTGTTCTCATCGCACCTCAATATGCGGTACTCCAAAAGACGGCGAATGTTAACTATTTCTCAATAATAACCGTTTCAAATGCAACGATTAAAACTTTTATCACCATTCATCTTTTAGTTTGGAGGGAGGCGATGCCACGGAGAACGTAAGCCTTTTATTATTAAGTATAATATAATGTCTCTATTTCTTATTCTTTCTATACGTTTAATTTCTATTATATTACTCTTTCTCTTCGCTAAGATATAATACAAATAACAAAATAAGAGGCAACCAACTGGAAAATTCTAACTAAAATCAGTCATTATTGAAGATCAGTTGGAATTAGAAAAAATAGTTCATCTTTTAAAATGAACAGTCGCTTTCTCAGCGCCATGTTGGATTTATCGATATTAGTTAACATTTTTATTATAAAAAGTACTTCTGCTCCCAATTTAGTTTAGATTATAACACGTTATGATCACCCCATTGAATGTAAGAAAAAAAATAGTTTAGGCGTATTGTGTGTATGTATAAAAAGAATATTGAGGGAAAGCAAATACATTGAGCGTGGCCTAACCAGTGAGGCAATGGAACTCCAAAACGTAGGCTGCGGGTTGGTCCAGTCTGTGTTCGAGACGCTGCCGAACGCGCCGGGAGTTCGGCTCGAACAGAGCCAGGTGATCTAGGCTCATCCAGCACAAGCGAGCCAAGAAAACTCCCGGCAACAAAATTCAACCCGAAAACTCCCGGCAACAACCTCACGGCAACAAAATTCAAGCTAGCGGCATGGGTAAAAGCAGATTTCCATATCGTTCTCAAAAAGTGCTTGTAATTGACAAAAATGAGTGTTGTAATGATACAATCTGATATGTCAGGGGCACTACCAGTCTGCGTTCTTTTGTTTTATTTTATTACAAAACAATGGTTTGGCTTTCTTGATCATGTTTTGCTATGTATTATATAAGGACGTGTTGAAAATCGTTTTGATCCGGAAATTACTCTAGAATTGAAATATTTTGTATGGCTATACAAGTACGCTATTTTTTATGTGGACATTAATGCAAACCAATAACATTTTTCCTAGAATTACTGTTATAATTTATTACATTCTGAATTATATGAGCTGCTTGGGCGTGATTGGGAAATATGCCGTATGAATGATGTATAAATAGAATGATACGTAAATTAATACTGCTTTCTTAATGTAACGGGGATGGTTTCGTTACTCACTAGTTTAGGAGTATGTTTTATCAAAAACAAGAAAAGATTCTGATATAAAAATTTATGTAAATAAAACTGAAACAAGGACTTTACAAGGCATATAGAATTCAAAAGTCAGCAAAACAAACATTAAGGTGATTGAAAATGCTAAAACCTACGGTAACGACGAACGTCCAGAAATCAAATCTACGAGACAAACAAGCTGAGCTAAATATAAACACACGAGAAACTATCTGATCGTAAAAAACACTAAAATATGGAGAATGCGTGTTCGGAAAGATCAAAATTGTGCCAAAAATACTGCGAAATGTATTTCCTCTAGGAAAGAGCCCCCTCGGTCAGTGCTGGGAGGGATCCTACTCTAACCGCTATCCGGTCGAAGCCGAGTCTGCTTCCTCAACCGGTCACTGTGCTCGCGATGCGTTTTTTCAGGCCTGACCTTTTCCCTTTCTAACGCATCTTCGTATTTGCCTGCAGGACCGCACAAAAGGCAGTGAAACAAATGCTTCTGAATCGTTGTTGCTTTGCGAGACGCTCGGGACGCCGTTCGGACTATTGAGTGGCTGGTCAGACTCGGCGTACAGCGGGTAGGGATATCACGTACTGCGCCCGTTGCTATTCGCGTGAACGCTCAAGAACCTCTTGTCTGCCTCTCGCTCGTTCTAGATCTAAGTCTCGTCTAACGCGCTCTCTGGAACCAAAGAAAATAAATACGGTGTGTGAACACATGCGATGAAGGAATAAAGCTGTTTAATGATCCTTTCAATCAAAAAATCACAGAATGAATTAGAAAATGGTTCGACTGTGCTCTGGATGTATGGAGGATGGCTTACTTGTGTGTGAAAATTCGGAGGTTAGGGCTTTTCAGGAGAGGAGGAACCTTGAAGACAGAGCGAAGTCAAGGGGTTACGAGGGGGAGGGGTACGGCTAGACGATAACATATAATACATTACAATATATATAACTATATGTATGTATCACAACGTCTATTCATCGAGGCTGCAGAATTGCCTGCTTTCGTGCACTGCAGTGGATATAAAATATGACACAAAAGGCCCACTCTGCTTTTGCAGCCTGTTGACAAAGGCATTTTCTTTTTGCTTCCAAGTTCCTTCTTTCAAAACAAGGTTTTCACACAAGATCCCTAACAGTTAAAAAAGACCTTCAATGAAAAAACCGTTAATGACAAAACAGTATACATCAACACAAAACATAAATACTTGTCGTATTAGCGTACAAAATTAGACAATGGAAATTAATAGAAGCAGCAGACCTGCCAGCGAGGAGACGGGCTTCTCAGCGCACACGCGCATGCGTACTTCTCTGCTCTGGAAATCTACTCTGAGGGGCCATGTCCATCTACGCTGCAGCTCTGCTGGTTGCGCAGTTCACATACACAATTATCAAATATTATCACTACAATATTACACAAGACCTTACAATACAAAAGATTAAAATAAAACATTAGTAATAAAACGAATTATTTTATAAATTATATCTAAAATTGCCTGGAGTAACACCACAAAAAGGAGTTAACTCTTTGCAAAAAAATGTACACAATCGCACCCTTCTTTGGAGGAGGGTTGAAGAATTTATTATTACAAGCTTATTAACATTGCTGCAGGCAACATTTTCACATGTTGGTCTCTCGCAATACTTTGCAAAGTCCTCCACTTCTATATATTTACATTCCAAAGAAACAAAACATTTTGAAAGAACAAGCAAAACACAAACTTTTTATGTTATTGTTAATTCACAAACGCAATAGTAGTTTTTAGTTCTGTGGTTAGGTTTTTTCAAAAAGTTTCTTGCTTCCATTTGACTTCAATGAGATCAGCAATCACAGATGTAGCATTCTTTGGAGTATATTGAAATATTTGAACCCGCTACCTAGGCGACAACCAGTCCCTTGAGTCAAACTAAGACGATAATCTACTGCTACGCACAAGCACGGAAAGAAGATAAAACCTCCCGACAAGAATTCAGTTCATTTCATTGGAGCTGAAATCAAATGAAAACAATCCCTTTCCCCCGGTGTGACCGATGAAGGCCGAAGTGGCTTTCCACACACATCCTCCCACTGTAAGTATTCCATGTCTCATAAGTTATATCCAACAGTTCACTTAACCTTAAAAAATCAATATTTTTATACCCTGGGTCTTTAAATCGGTATATTAAGCAATATAGTTTTTAAACATTAGAACACACTTCTAACACATCGCCATATTGTGTTACATTTTTATAGAGATGGATCATTGAAACATCCGAACAATGTCACATTTTTTTCACTTAAAATTTGTTTACCGTGCACATGTGCCATTTATATAATATATACTTCTCAGAGAGGTGCGTGTGAACTTTTTAATATTATATTGTATAGAGCAACAGTTTTTACGCTTATATGATACACAAATACAATGGCATTTTTATTTCACCATTTAAATATTAGATTGTTTTGCTTTCTAGGTTATGTGAATACTCAAAAAGTTCCTTTCACTTTGCAGTTTTGTGTGTTCACACACAAAATGTCATTTCGTTCTACAACCGTTTTCGTCGCCCGCCGGCGAAAACTCGCGTTTCTTCCCATCCTTGATTTAGAGTAACGTAAAACATACGACAACTAGTACGTACTTCTTCCCGCTACATTGTAGGATGACAGATGCACACACAGTTAGCACAAGCATACAGTATTTTTCACTTATTTGTTACTTTCAGTAGTTTGTTATTACATTATTATTTCTTCCATAACAAAGAGGTAACGCATCTATCCATTTATATAACATACATTTTACATAATACCATAGTGTAAACAGTACATTAACCACAACAACATGTGTTTTTAGTATTTTTAGATAAACAGGATATTATCATAATAACACAATACTTGCCTGCATGCCAACCGCGGAAGACATGCCCAGATCGGGACAATGTGTAAGTGTGAGTTGTGTTTGCAATATATATATATATAGATATACATGTGTCGGTGTATGTAAGTGTATATACGTGTGTGTTGTGTATGCATTTACGTGTTTACGATGTGAAAATGTGTATAAAATAGTTCAAGCCAAACGATGATCGCTCTTTATTTAAATATATATTTATATATGTATATATATAAAGCTCTACAGCTTTTTTCCATTTCTTTAAATGTATATATTACATCTATCAATAGATGCTAGAAAATAAATTAACAATCGAGAGATCAAAAAGATATCTTCATTTTCTTAGTATTCGAAAAAGAGAAAAAATGGAAAGACCGTAACCTCACTTTTACTTGCATATATATGATCTGCAGTTTAGAAAACATTGGACATTTTCATGTTTAAAGGATCGGGCCCGAACCGGGGATGAGTAAGGTTAGGCCAGCGAGTCAGTTCGGAAACAGAAACGAAAAGACCAAACCGAAAGGGCAGAAACGCAAGACCGAAGAGGGTGGAGGGCGAGTGGTAAGAGGGGTTTGAAGGGAGGGGACAAGGGGGGTCGGGAACTGAAACTTGACGTCTCGCTAAGAACAGTGATTGTACCGCCACGGCAAGGGATCCATACTCCTTCCACACACCACGTCGAGAACTAATGCACTACAACTCGGAAGCTCATTTTGTACCTGGCGCAGTAACGCAGGAGGCAGTATCTGGCGTGTTATGTGTCGCTGTATGTGCATACGTGTCGTATGTGCAGGTGTAATTGTTTACATTCTGTGCCACAGATGTTTCTTTGTATAATATACGTTAATATTTCTTTGCGAAGGGAAGAGGGGTTCGCAGGAGCTAGAGCGTACAAAGCGTGAAGCGAAGACACAACGAAGGTTACCTCCCCAACAAGGAAACATTATTGCTTTTCTTGAATATCAGTCAGTATAAGAAATACGCAGCACACACGCACTCACATTAATTTGATGCAATTGTATTTTTTACACAGCGTTTTCATTTTATTTTTCATTTTGACACCATAATAGTTATACATCAAACAATCATTCTTATATTTAAAACACCGAACTGCCAATAAAGATTATTTATATTGATATAAAAAATTCTACTCAAAAAGATATATAGTGTATAGTGTTTCAGTGAAGCGATCATCATTTGGATTTTATTTTTCATTTTTTAAAAATGTCTTCTACATATTATTTATAATAACACGTCATCTTACCAACCACAATAGTATTCTCTAGCTCTCTTCAAAGAAATATTCCTTCATACAGGCTTCATTTTGCATATTTAATTTTCCTTATTTTTAACAATTTCACGGTATCAAAATACAGCATTTTATATGAGAGTGCTGTGGCTTGGCTGCTGCCAGCACTGTATTGCTCTGTGAGATGCCTACCGAGTACAACATGGCTACCAACAAAAATTATTGGATTTCATTTTATTTCAAAAAAGGAACATTAAGAAGATATTAGACTAAATATTTAGAAATTACTTTACTCTTGAAATATAAAATATTTACCACATGGCCAAGTTGTCTGAGAAAATCTTTTACAAAAACATCCATAGTTACTTTTTCTAACCATACAAAGATGTCTATGTTGGAAAGAAATAATTGCAGGAATATTTCAAAGAAAAGAAAATATATTTTACAAGCGCTCACTAGCGCTAATATTTTAAAATTCTTTATTCCCTGATTTGCCGTATTAAATTGGATTTAATTACTTATTTTTCTCTATTGCTGTTTGTTAAAACAGAATAGTAAATTTTTTTGACCACTCAATGTCAATATAATACCAAAACTCTGAAACATTCTATATCTTCTAAGAGTTTTCCATCAATTAATTCAAAATGTAACTTACACATTATTTAAATATAACACAAGAACAACTCGTAAAAATGAACAACAAAAACAATACCAACGACAGGAAGAACTCTATCGTCTCTCAAAATATTAGATTATATAAACTAACATATTTCATGATTATCGTAGGACACTTCATTATTTATCATTGTATATATAATATTTTATATATAATATATAGATATAATTTCTTTAGCTACCGATTCTCTTCTGCTACGTGTATTCTCGCGAAAGTTCTCTTCAAATTGATTACTAAATCGTCATGAACTACAGAGTCAAACAAAACACAGACACTAGGCCATTCGCCTTCATGAACAATACACTAGTTTTGTACTGATAAAATGTTTAGCCGTTGTATTTCGGTAACAAAAAATTAAGTTACATAACACAAATCCGTAGACCCCACAGGAGTCTTTTAGGAATTAAGATACAAAATACATCGTAGGTTTTCTAGACAGTCAAATAAAATTACACTGACCTAATAGCAACAATGGTAATGTGGATCAAACCTTGTACGCACGAAGTCCGTTGCAAAAAAAGACAGACTGCGAAATCGAAGCATAGAGAGTCGAGACTGTATCAGCTTGATTCGCTAAATTATATTCAGAGATAACCACAACATATATCGACAATCGTATGCTTCTTTTTCATCAAGAAATTTAATGTTAAATTGAGAAAATTTTCTAAAACAAACTATGGCGTATCGTTTGACTAGTAATCAGCCCAGCTCGCCTTCAGTGCGGACCTCGCTGAAAGGAACGTCATATTGATGCGAAACTAACAAGTTAATGACCTAGGAGAATTTGGTTGAGTCTTTATGATCGATGCGATGAAGCCGACAACAGTCGGCGAGGAAGCATGAATGATACACAATGTAATAATAAATACACGCGATAATCCGCACTTTAATACTGAGTAGCGGGGATTATGCCCCGGGCTGGGCGAGCAAGACTGGAGGAACTCTGCCACGGACTTCGTTCGTCTCCCAGGCTCCACAAACGGAACATAATGACACAAGATAGAACGGGATGGGAATTTGCGAAGGCTTTCACGATATAGATAAAAATTGACAACGATTTTGTTGTTTTCCATTTTGTCTTTTGCTCCCTCTGTCGTTCAGATGATTGTTCCCATTCCATACTGAATCGTTTCGAGTTCCACTATTCCTTTCCAGCTCTCTATACGCCCCCCATCTCAGTCTCAAAAATGCCGAAATGTTATACCATCTCTTGAGCCAGTTACCTTTTTATCTTCAAATAGCCACACTCATCTTCATAAATTTTTGGGCCAGTTGGTTTTGTTAACACGATCTTCGTTCGCCCATTTTTGTTTCTTTGCATTGTGTCTCAACAATTGACGTTTAAAACACACGAAATGATAACAAGGGCAAAACAAACGACACGCATGTTCAAAAACTTCGCCTTTAATGGGCAAAGAACAGATTCATTTAACCATTACGAAATATGAAAAGTATAATTTGCCGTATTTCACAAAATCCCTAAAAGAAAAGCGAATATTTTTGTCGTTTGGTTTTTATGTGCTGTGCATCTTGTTCCTGGCCGAGGCAGCTTCACTTAAGAGCCAGTGTTGCCAACGACACCACAATTTGTCTGCTCAAAAATATCTTTTCCTTTCGAGTTCATATTATTCTGTTATATTTCCTTGTCTCATTCTTTTTCCCATAAGGAAAAACAAACATGGACATCCATGTATGTGTGTTGTCCTATCTATCTAAACAGTTAACTACGTCACTAATCCAATACATCTAAAGGTAATTTTATGAAGCTACATAAGCTACAGAGTCTACACCTAGAATTGTTTGTTGCTTTGCATTTTATATATATTTACAGACAGCATCGTTTTCACGTACAACTGTGTTGCATGAGGCGGCTTAGTTATTTTTATTTTTATTTACTGCACGCCCGTTCGCCCCCTACAGTCTAGGGAGCACCACAATGTATTACATATTAAAACATCAATAATTATTTTATTATATATACAAATGCATAAAAGTTAAAAGAATTAAAATATAGATGTGTGTATATATGTATACAAATGTAAAATATATATAATATTGTTTCAGCTGATCTCAGAAGGTGTTTTTATCCCACACATCTTTCTCCATAAACTTCTTGTCCTTCGTGTTAGTAAAAGAAACAGGCTTCAATCTGGTTGCCGATTTCGGTTTCTCGGAAAATGAAAACAGGGGAGGGCTGGGGGGCGAGAACCAAAACCGCCCGCGGGCTTTAGCGACCGACGGATGCTCGCGCGGCGGCTGGCGGCAGGGTTGCCGAGCACCCCCGCGCCCCCCGACAGGGGGGCACGCGAGTCGCGTCGACCCCCTGCGCTCGCCGCCGCCGACCAAAAATTTCGGCGCTGGGACGCAGGGGGAGGGGGCGCCCCCGCGCGCAGCTCACAACTGGAGAACGAAACGCAACGGTTCTCGAAAAACCACGTGACCACAGGAACAGAAAGAGGTGGCCCTTAGCCTGATTCGTCATCGTGTTCCACAAACAAATATACAGACACTGCTTTTTTTATACTTTTCTACGGAGCAGAATAACAAATTGGACGAATGCAAACAGACATCGGCTTGGCATTTCTATTATGGCAAAAGACAAATCTTAAAGCTGCATTCATTCACACTTTAACACAATTTGCAACAAAATCTGTATATATTTAAAAAATTTACCCTCCAAGAGCATATGCATAATTTGTTTTATATATTATGTATACCGTTATTATAATTATTATGTATAATAATATGCGTGTATATGTCTAGAGTATAGATAATTTGCCTTAAGTATATTGTTTTTTGTTATTATTATGCTTTATATAATGACGTTGAGGAGAGGTCAACAATTTCTTCACGTCAACGAACACACCAAATAACTGAGAGTTCATTATTAGTATGTTGATCAATATTCAGAGTAGTATTAGTAATAGCAATAATTATAATGATAAATGTTTTAATTTTTCCGCCAGGATTACAAGTATGAGCTGTAGCGAAGATTGGTAAGTATTTTTTTCTCATTTTCAAATCGTTCTCCATCGAAGTGTCGAAGTTTAGAAGAAGGTGATGGTGGTAGTGGAGAGATGACGGTGCGCTGCGGCGCGGTGTTCGGAGATCGAAGGGGCGACCCGCCAGCCACTGAGGCGGGCCGTGGAAACACATCTTCAGACGGTTAGCGTTTATTATTTGAGGACGAAGTATTCGTTTTTTTGTTTGGATATATATAAGACAGAAATAGCAGTTACAGATGAGTACTCAGAGTAGCAGTACGTCTTGCATTAAAAAAATATAACACCAGATAATTCATTTCATTTTGTCCCCTAAAAAATCAGAATGCAAAACTGAAACAACGTGTACACACATTTAAAATGTTCACAACAACCATCCGGCGGAAAGAATATGCATTTGTTTATTTTGCTTTTCTCATTTTTTCTTTCCAAATCTTCATGCCTCCAATGTGAAGGGCAGGTCACATATATAATTATTTTAATATTTATTAGTATTATATATTTATTATATTATATATTGTTATATATTTTGTCCATATAATTCGTCAATCGTGTATATGTGTGTTTGAATCCAAACTCGTCTGCTCACGCTGTTGGCCCAAGCATTGGTTCACAGCAGCAGAGAGGAAAACAGAAGATTGCGGGTTTTTGATTCGTCGCTCAGCCATCAGTATTCAACCTGAGTTTCCACACAGTTCCGAAACCTGGCAACAACATTGGGCCAATGACTGCGCGCACTGAGGTCAGCCATCACGCTGTGCTTGCACTGGACCCCCTTTCCCAACACAATGGCAAAGGCCGCTGCCAAACGTAAGAACCCAACGAGAGTAGGTACTGCACGTGGCCAATACAATTACTGTGTGTCTGACAATTTGGTGAATTTCAATGAGAAATTTGGACTCCATTGCAAACACAACCCGAAAGCTTATTCAACAAATAGTTTCCCCGACGTGACTAGCAACAGTCGGGTTTTTTACAATGTATAAAAAATTCAAAAAAATGCATGCTATTAAAGTGAACAACTTGGTTAAATTGGATACTTTTTGTGTATGAAAAATATTTTTGTAAACATGCATTAATAAAAAAGTTTGATTGCAGTGACAAACAAATGAAAACCAACAAATGTTAGGATAAAATAAATACATATTAAAAGTAGATATCTTATAACGGTGCAGCCGTTGTAACAGTTTTAACAAACTTTAGAGCATGTTTTTTTACACGCTTGTGTATGCCTGATTGACACCGCTAGCGAGTTTAAAACCGAAACAAGTGGCAGGCCAATCCTGAATGGATAGGCGCGAAACTGCAGCTGTCATAAGAAACCTACCAGGTGTTGAAGAAAGAAGCAGCCAAATGTTTTTTTTATGGATGAAACCTTCGCTTTCAATCAATGAATAAGTAAAAATACTACAGAAGGCAAGAGCATTTGGGCAGGCCTACCTGTACAGTGTCGTGGCAGTTAGCGGCCTCAATGGTAGCCATTAGTGAAAGCTGCCGGGATAAGGGGGCCCTGTGAAAACAGCAAAATATAACGTTCCCTCGCAGTCCGTTTGAACCTGCTGCACGTCTACGAAATCGCGATTCGCGCAACACCCCGGATTCCGGAGCGACCCCGAAAACAATTCACCGCGGCGGAATTCGCCGAGATCCAAAGGGACGCGATGGGAGGTGAAGTGAAATTCAAGTGTTCGGAATCCACTAGGAATGCGAGAGTTATTCTAACACGTGGATTTGTGTTCGTTATGGTTTTGAGAAGACGTGTGAAAGAAAAATTTTGACTAGTCGGTGTCGTATAATTTCAGAATCATCATTTGTTGTGTTTTTAGAAAAACAGTACAAAAATATTCAATTTTTACTACAGTTGTGTTATGTAGTATACGTTCATGAGTGAGAAAGATCCCTGTATTTTAATATTTAATATAAAAATATTATGAAGCTTGAAACTTAATTGTGTGCTGTATATCTTCTTTACTATTTCAAGTAATTCATGTGTTTCTAAAGAACAATTGTAATATGTGAATCTATTGTACAGAATAATAAAATACAAAATCACGAAGTGCCCATAAATATGTAAAAAAATATATAGAAAAAAAAGAAACTTCATAAAAATTGAAGTTACAAATGACTCTTAGCCAAATATTATCTCACATGACAGACACAGCGAGTGTAACAGCGAATTGCACTCAGTGAATTGTTTTCGTTTTTTTAAAATTGAGACCTGCCAAACATTCACGCTTTCCTAGTTCTTCCTACTTTTTTGTCCTCCCTTTTTATTAATAACTGCCTTTAATCTCCCAGTGGCGCTTCTCTCTACTTTACAAGGAAATAAAACAAAGAATGAAACTGCACCCCTGATTTCTGTCTTCCGCTTGGCTAACACACACATACACGCAGGAACACTTAACAGAATAGCGGTACTCATAGAAACATTTCCTCCGGATACAATCCTCAGCTGCCACAGCCGAGAGGAAACTTTCCCATGACCACATAAGCACGTATAAAAACATGTGATACGTGCGTTCCGATTAGCAATGAATTTACAGAACTCTAGAATACAATCACATACTTTGACAAAGAATGCACTCTTCCACAGAGAAGGCATTCTTCGCCAGCGCCATGTTTTCTATCTCGTGAATGGGCTTCACGTTCATTTTTGGATTCGTCATCAAACAGTGGTAATTTAATCAGAGGAAATTTTATCTCGCAACTGCACAAACCACGTCAACATCCGAGGACCTTTGAGCTGTGAAGAGACCCGACCACTGCGGGCCAGCCGCACGCACCGCTGCGACACTCCGCGCCGGGCACGGCTTCGCGCGAGAGTATCCGAGCCGGCAGTCGCGAGAACGGCTCCATGAAAGACACTGCAAATCGAGCGATGAACCGCACAGTATCTCGTAGCCACAAACGTCTTTCTTTCAAGAGTGTGGCGAAACCGCAAGCAACCCGATTCCCACAAGATGGCCAACACAATTTCGGATTATTACCAGCACTTCTAAACTAATTCGCCACAAAAAGTATTTTTTAATTAATTACGTTCCAATTAAATGAAAAATGTTAAATGTACGTAATTTTGTTAGGTTACTTTGCACCTCTTTAATTCAAGAGATTGAAACGAATTTGATACTGTTTTAATAATATGTATATTTCCCATTTCAAGTTGCACACACTGAAGTTATGCTGGGGCTATACTTCCGCTCTGAGACTACGTTTAATTTTTATATTAATGTAAAATAATAGTAATTCGACTTTGATGAAGACACACATTTTACCAGAGAATACAGTACAAAACAAATACCGAAAGATTACCCAACAATTTCACAGTATTTTCGAGCACATTTGCCCACGATTCCAAACTTTTCCTCAAGAGTTGGCCACCCTGTGTCTTGCGCGCGCGATGTCTCACCTCGTGGAGATGGCAGCGGCCAAACAACGTCGGGTTATTTCGTCGCATGCGGTGGCGGGCCGGAACACCCTCTGGGTTTCTCGGCACTTACAGCGCTCTCGTCACACTCCGTGACGGCTCTGCAGCGCTCATAAATCACACATGGCTTTTTAATTTACCTCCTAAATAAAAGCACGAGAGGCGAGCGCCCAAGGCAGCGTCAGCAAAGCGCCCCGTCTCTATTAGAATAATTAGTCTAAAGGGCCCTTGGAACGCTCCTGGGTGCTGCGGGCGATCTTCTGGTGTTCCGCAGGGCTCTCGCAGCTGCCGAAAGCGCTCCGTCGATTCGCTGCGCCGACGATGGCGCCGAAAAAAAAGTGGGACGACGCGACGAGAGATCTTTTTCATGCAAAAAGCGGTGTTTTTGACGCGGAACTAAAAACAAACATTCCGCCCCTCCCCCACCCGCCGACGTGGAGGGATGGGAGAGAGCGAGCGAAAGAGTGAGAGAGCGCGGGGAAGGGAGATCGGAATGAAAAATGGACGCGAAAAACCGTCGTTTATTCACGACAAGACGCCCAATTTCGAAAAAGTCGAGATAGGTTTGTTACTGTCAACCGGCGGGGATCGGCCATTTACCACGCGCCGTGTGTGCAGTCCGTCACGCCGCAATCAGGCCCCTGGAGGTTTCGCGCCGTCCCGCCGGGGGAGGCGGCGGTGGGTGGCGGCGTGGGGCGGTGCGGAGAGCGGGGTGCGAGCGGGAAGGACGGGGACTGGACCGCACACGGTCGATGTGGGCCTTGTAATTAGTCGGGGGAATGCGGGCAGCGCTGCGGTGGCGGCTGCGGCCGTCTCGGGGACGGCCGTTATGACGACCGCGACCGCGCCGCTCCCACTCCTCCTCCCGCCCGCCTCCGCCCTACCTGCTACCACCCGCGAACGCCCTCGGGCCCTGCCGACGACGGCCAGGCTCATCCGCATGACTGCGGGCGTGCTGATCTAAACCACAAGGGCCGGTGCTCACGAGGTGTCGACAAGAGCTTTTCCGTCCAGATTTTCGGGTCTAATTTTAAAATGTTTATACGAGAAATTTTTAAAAAATTACATAAATTCAAAATTATTTTAAGTTAATATCGTTAACAGCCAGAATTCACAAGTAAACCTTGAATAACTTATTCCCTATCAAAAATTGATTTTTGGCAAATGACCTTGGTTTATTTCATTAAAAGAGAGTTGAATTGGTTATGTAAGTTTCGATTCAAAAGTTCAACACGTAACCACTCAAAATTCTTCCTAGAAAGTGCGTTCTCCCTTCCACGTGTTCGATTTGAAAGTATCGCGTTGGTTCCAAGCCGCCCGTGCAGATTCCGCAAATGGAGCAGCGTCTTGTGGTCGCTTTCAATCAGCGTTCGCGACTCAAAATTCTCATCTCCAAAAAACGACAAACAAATTAATGAAGAAAAAAAATATCCGCTCACGATATGTCGTATTTTTGGAACGCAGAAACGATATTGAGAAAAAGCTTGAACCTTTTTGAACTCGCCAAATCTTCGTTTTTCAAAATAAATAATAAAAACGACTCGCCAGCTCTCGGAGACGCCGCCGGCCCAGCGTGCGTGACGCAATGCCGTCTGTTAATGCAGCATCCACCGTCTCCGTTAAGAGGCCTTCACAGCAGTCCTCGCCGCTTTCAGCGGAATGTGCGATTGCGAATTATTTTAAAATTCATTTTCAGAAACGTCTCGACGTGAGCACCCGATTTTGTGTTTACAATAACTGTTCATTATTGACGTCTCCCGACTTTCATAAGGTTTTTTATACGAGTATGGCTTCCGCCTGTTCTCTTTTTTTGGCTTTTTTTGTAGGTGTAGCGCACATTTAAAAAAAGCAAGATTATGACTTGACGCTACTGCAGTGCTGCTGCATCGGAAGACGCGCGAGCTGTTAAAAACAAAGCATCAACGTCGAGAAAAATCAACAACATCCATGCAAACACATAAACGGGCACTCATTCGTATTGGAAATAAACTGATACACAACGATATGTACAAATAATTATATATGTACAGCATGCATAATACATATCTCATCATTTTCATCAAGCCAATAAGGGAAATTTATACACCGTTGAGCGCAAACCTTAAGAGCTAATACTTTACACTTGAAGCTTTTTTTGCTTTAATCGAATAGGACAAGCGAAGCGGCGGGGGGCCACCCGGCGTCCCAGCACCCGTCGCCGAGCGCCGGCGGCGGCGCCGTCGACGCCATCTGTTAGTCACGACAACAACCGTCAGCGAGGCGCTCTCCCTTTAGCATTAG